TTGTTTATCGTGCACTGCCTCAGTGTTTCAAAGACTCTCGGGGCAGCATGCCCCCAAACATCGCCCCCCCCCCCCCCAAGGTTGAACTGACAAAACAATTGTTGTAAGGGATAACAAAAACTTTCAATAAAATGAACCAATATAAGGGAAGGGTCAAATATACGTTTTTCCCAAAAAGAAACTACGTTCACACTACAGGGTGTCCCCCAAAAAAGTGACACTATAGAAATTATCCTATATTGTTATAATTTGAATGCCCTAGCACTAAGTTGATCCCACAGGTGCAAAAACTTCTGCTTCTGGAATTTAAAATAAAAAAGCAAACCGTCAGGCGTGTAATCACGCGCGTTTAAGAGCGGCTTAAGAACAATGAGATAATTTCTATAGTGTCACTTTTTTTTGGGACACCCTGTATAGTAGAAATTACGGCAGAACCCGTTTCTACGTAGTACTAATAAACAACTGTACGGCAATACATCCCACCATCACAACCATAATCACCAACAAACGCCCTACGGCAGAAAGGTCACAATTAGCCGTCACATTTACACTACGACGGAGCAAAATTGTTCGAAAACGTCACTTTTGCCGTAACATTTTGAGCACGGTTTCTGGTAAACGGAGTGAGCTATAGTCAAAATAACAATTGTCAATTCACATTCAACTTAACACGTTGTTGCCTGTCTCTTGAAAAATCAATAATCCAATTAACAATGGTTGGCTTAATCCCTAGGTCGACCAATTAGCTTTCTAGAAGTCGAGAAGGGCGGTTCTTATACGGTTGCACCAGTATCATCACTAGCACGTAGCCAGTGGTAAGAGCAAACATTGACATTGTTGAAGAACGTAGTATGAAGCCATATATTGACGGGGATCAAGAGAAGATAGCACGACGGATTTCAGGGATTTTTCAATTACAAAATCTTCGGCAATTTTCGATAGAGTTGATGTTAGGGAAATCAGCTTTGGCCTTAGATCTTTATTATAATCAGTGTTGGGTCGCGATTTTGCAGCAACGTTTCCGCTCACAGAATGTTACAGGCCTTTTTTCGGTGGGTGACAAAATATTCTTTAACGGAGTCTTTAGGCTTGATTGGTATTCAATGCATAATTGACAATTTCTGTGAGGATTTGTAATTTTGTCTCACACAGTTGGCATTAATTAACAATTCTCATAAGAACTGGGAGACAGCTATGGAAAAGTTCACTTTATATATTTATACAAAAAGAATTAAAGGCACTGTGTGATCGTGAGATTCAAAGCTTTTCGGCATTATTTTTGACTATTTTTTAATTCAGTGTTAAAAGAGTATATTTCAGGAAACAAACATGTCATGCCTACAAACCCCCTCCCTCCTAGGCATTATATTGATGTCTTTGGCATAAAAATATCTTTGACCCTTCCCTAATTGAAATGCACTAAACAAAAAACCATATTGTAAAATATACAAATATCCATTTATTTATAAAGATATGTTTAGGATCAAGGTCATATGGTGTGCAAGCAAGGAGGGAGGCAACGGAAAAATCGAAAATTGAAAGCCTCTGCACGAGATTTGTTGATATCTGTAACAAACCGACAATATCTGTGACCATGCATGCCATCATATATCTAAAGAATATTTTTGTTATCTGAAAATTCATGTGACCATTATACCTTGAATAAAAAGGCCATTGTATTTATTGTGGTAGCAGGGATGGATTTACTGGGGGATGACCGACACAACTCGGCAGTCAACACCAGAGCACACCCCCCCCCCTACCAGATCATGCTGGATCCATCCCTGTGTGGTAGTACATTATTTTGATACGATGGAAGAATCAAATGAAAATATTTGGTAGAATCAGGAGGGGGATGCCATTGATTTGGTATCTGATAATGTGCTTCAACACAACTTGTTAAAATGGTAAAATGTCTTGGAACACTTCTATATCTTTATTTTTACTCATTTTTTAAAAATCTCGGGTGCACAATTTCCAAACTTTCCAGTCAAATGATTATTTTTTCTGTGCTGGTATTGTGTACTCAGGTGTGAATATGATGTTTGTTATGTTACTCTGAGTGTATATCCACACCGGGCGAGCTTGAAAAATATGCCCGACCACTATGGAAATATTAAAGATGTGGTACAGTCCGTACCGGTATGTAAACAAAGGCTTTGTTTACATTTCGGTATCCCAAATATAGAATTTTCGTCGACAACTATTTAGGCCAATGGAAGTGAGGTATCAGTTTACTGTCACCCGCACACGTCTATTTTAGGCACCCGCGTGAAATTTTTCATTATTTCGTGATTTTTTCATTATTTGTCAAATTTGTATAGGAAGTGTTTCAAAAATGGCTTTCTGTTGAAATCATTGGCAAATACTGACTTTGTTTATACAGTTAGCGAAGCCATGGCCTGCGTAGCGAAGCCACAGCGAAACAGAGTCAAAGACATAGCTGATAGCTGGGAAGCTAGCAAAAAGCTCAAGAATCGTCAAAATTTTCTTGGATATTTTCGGTCGAAATTCGGATTTTTAGCTCAAAATTTGACAAATTCAAATCATGAAAAATAATGAAAAAAATCCGCATCAACTTTTGAAATTTTAGGTGATGGTAAACTGATACCTCACTTTCATTGGCCTTATATTTTCATGATTCTAGATATAATAAATTATCAAGACACAACAATCAAGCTTTGCAAGAACATAAAATGAAATAAAAACCAAAATAAATAAAAATAAGAGGGCTCCTTTGCTCACATGCACAGGTCGGACTGTACAGCATCTTTAAGGGGTATCCCTTCTACTAATGCACCTATCGATGTTAAGCCCCAGAGGGGGGGGGGGTCGGGCATAGGTGGGGCATTTGATTTTTTGAGCAAATTTCCAATCAAATGCCCCACCGTCAGGCAATAAATGTTGGTCAAATACCCCACCATTTTGCAATAAATACTATATTAATAAAAGTCATTCGGTTCAAATTGCCCCAACTCGGGGCCAAAATGCTAATCAAAATCCACAGGGTGGGGATGCAATTGATGATCAAATACCCCACATATGCCCGACCCCGACCCCCCCCTCCGGGGGTTAACATTGATAGGTGCATAAATATCATATTTCAATTTAATATTTAGCTCAAATAAAATATATATAAAACCTGATCAGTGATCTAAACCACTGTAAACTTACCAGAAGCTTTGTCAGGCATTGCACACTAATTTTGAAATTAAGTGATAAATTTATTAAATTCAGCAGATCCTTCCTCAACAAACTGAATGAAATAATCTTTGAAGTCATTTGCCGAAACGGTCCGAAAGTCCCCCCCCCTTTTTATACGCCAGTGATATTTTTACTCAGCGGAAATTCTGTGTTCACAACAGTTTAGCGCATTTATATTTCGATCACAAAATTATTTCATTTCTATCGTTTATTCTTTTCTTTTAAATTAGTTTATACTTGGAATTGAAGAATATATATAATATATATTGCTAGAAGAAATTTTGAAGTTATGGCAGAATTCCCAGTAGTAAAAACAACCCGTGAAAGCTGGTTCGAAGAGCATCCAAAATACTTGGAAATAAAGTCCTATGGTTACGATGTGTGTTTACGAGAAGCCATGTTTATTTATCTAGATCTCATTGAAGTCAAACATTGGTTTGATGTAGAACTGTGTCGTTGTGATGCGATTAAAAACGTTTATATTGTTGGCAGGCCTCTAAAGAAATGCCAAATTGAACTAGTTGTACCAACTGCAACCTCAAATTTATTCACTCATGCAGACTTTCGTAGAATTATTACAGAGGTATGCCAGGCTTATATGAGTTCTGGAATGGGAGAGAAATTTGGTGCAAGTGAAGCTAAAAGTGTTTATTTGGCAATCATGGACAGTAGTTCTACAGTAGTTTATTATAAGATGACTGATGGACTTGTATCCCCAGATGAGGTTGGTGATGATGATGCAGAAGTTGATTCACTGATAAGATGGAAAAGGAGCAATAAGAACAGACAAAATAAATCTTAAATAAAGTTATGCAGTGTATTCTTTGTGATTTGTTACCCTGACTAGACATTTCACGAGACACTGACATTTCATAATATGAGCATTGCTCAAGTAACAGCAGGCGCGGATCCAGACCGTGGCAAAAGTGGCTCGAGCCACGGTCAGATTTTTCCCACCTAAGATTTTCCGGGGTTCACCTTTGTTGGATACTGCATTAGACTGCTTACGCATTTTTAAGAAGTATATATTAGTTATTTGAAATACAAAATTGAGCAAATATAGGTCTATAGCAAACAATTTGAATAATATCTTTCGTAATTGTTCTCATATTACAGTAATATGTGCTAAAAGCAGGAAAAACGTCCGAAATATATTCCTTGTTCAATAGTATAATTATCCAGTTAAACACTGAACTATAAAAACCGCCGAAAGCGTGCCGAATTGTGCCGAATATGTTCGGAAAACAGTCGTAAATTCGAAGCTGCGATCACAGCCACAAAATGCCACGGTCAGCGTGCAAAAAATTGCGCAATTGTTACTAAATATAGTAACTTTCTGCCACGGTGCAGCGTTGCAAACCAATCACAGGGCAAGTTGTGGTCATGTGCCAGCCTCGTACCCAGGCGCAAATAACGTACTAAAAAAACAGCAACACTACAGTTTTTTTATATAGATCAGTGGCTGAGCGAGCGCGCGGGGGTGCTTGGGGAGGACTTGGGAAGCGAGGCGCCTGGCAGAATTTGTAACAAACATGGCGGACATGAGAATGCAAAGAAGGAAATTGCTGTACTATATAAATGAAATTGAAAGGCTTGCCTAACGAGCGGTACATTTGGGAACGATTTTATGTCCAAATGATCACTGCGTTGATAATAAGGATTTTTCCTCGAAAACGGTATTTTAATTAAAGGTCTCCTCAGACCTCAGGAGACCAGCCTCTCGAAATTAGAAAGTCTGCTGGTCATGAGAGAACTCGAGATTATTGAACATTCTAAAAAAAATAACGATTTATTTCAATTGGTTGAAAATATATGTCTGGTATTGGATGCACATCATGAAATATACTGCCTTTTTGCAGTTTGAAAGAGAAACTGACCAAGCAAAGTCAAAGAAACTGTCTTATTCTTGAATCTTTTAATTTTAATATAAATATTTTAATAATACATTGAATTTATATGGAATGTTGAAATTACTATTTATTTGTACTGATGATACCTTTTACCTAGAGGAGAAAATTTATAACTAGAAAATATTTTATTGTAGGTTTCTTAGTTTCTAAAATTTTACCAATAAAAAGGCCTATATTAAACATGCATGACTGCTTTATAGTATACAAAATATCAGTGAATATATGAACATTTAATAAATTTAATAATATAAAACCTGTTTTGGCCATTTAGCTATTGTTGTAACTGGCTGACAGTAAGTTTAAAGGCTAAAGCACAAACTAACCCAGTGTTTTATACTTTGATGTGTATTTTGTTCTTCACCTTGCATTTGACCTATAAAGGCTATTGCCCTTGATTGCCAAAATCTACCATGTTTACACTAAGGAGTGGGGTAGACTCTGGACTTACCTGTGGCCACATATAATGCATTTGACACCTAGTTACAGGACAGTGTCTAAAAAACTGGACAATTGGGCTGATTTCAGATGCATGTTAATAATCAACGATATTTGAAAAATATGTGGCAAACATCATCTGATGGTCTCACTGAAAATATGTGTCAACAGTAAATATACACACATTACATGATTTACCCTGTTGTCATGGAAATTGGTCTCGGGATTAAACAATCCAAACATGTATATACTACAGGGTTAGCCACCCCAAATTCTTCACCTGAAACCATTTCAGGTCACTCAGGGTAGGTCCCAGTAAAGTGCTTGGACAACAAGAAGACCTATCCCAGTTGTTTCTGTGCTTGTTCCTAAATCCTGTATATGGTCATTGCTTCAGCCAAGTTAGAACGGGCATATGTTTTACACAACTTGACTGAATGAGATATACCTCATCAACATGCTATGCAAACAACAACCCCTGTAACATTTAAAGTCTTGAGAATTTTATTTATTTTGCTCATAACATAAAGTACTAGTATTTACATTCAACGGAATCTAGCTAGAACTAGCAATATTTATGCAAATTTAATACTCTTGTGGGTTTTTATTTATAGACCCATGCACTCACCCACAGCTGAACTTCTCAACAAGCTAGGTACATTGGCACAAATTAACAGCTTAGCCCATTAAGTTCCACTGCACCCTACTGGGGCTATGGTGGCGTGCTGATTGTGCCACCGACTTTGGTAGTGCAATTGTCAGAGCGAGGACTTTTTACATCTGAGATTGTTGGTTCAATTCTCACCACTTCAACGACACTTAAATGTGAAAAGAGTCATGCTGTCAACACTCTGACAAAAGTTGTGGGTTTTCTCCGGGAACTCCAGTTTTCTATAGAGGGAATGTTGATGGGTGGCTTGGGATTAGCCTCTAACTCACCCTCCATAAGGTGGCTGCCAGAGGCACCCTCAGAAAATCTTTTACTCAATCAAATTGTGCTATGTTGAACTGTACCAGCTACAGAGAAAATATACATTTCATGGGTTGCAAATATAATATTATATCTATATTCATATCACATGTAGTTGAAAATCTTTTGGAATTCAAGAACATCAGTGACAAATGTCAAACTGCATACAATACACTGAAAAACAAAAATATTCAAATCACTTCATGGCAAATTTAATATACATGTATCAAGCAGTAGTCATAGTAGTGACAGCACTACTGGGTTCTGTATCAATTCAGTGATTGTTTGCTGAAAATAAACTATTCAAGTATTTACAACTTTTAGAATTGTATAGTATATTAAATTAGTATGAAGACATTTGATCAGCAAATCTCTTTGGCTGGAACTCGACATGGGCTTTTGATTCTGGTGTTAAATTATTAAAGGTGCATCCCTGGTTGAAATTATTCTTTCTCCTTTTGTGGGCAGCTTACAAATTCTTTTAAAATATGAAACCTGTCCTATTTCTTGTAGTCATCTTGACCAAGATTTATACAATGATGCACACATAATATACAGAGAATAATGAAATCTCAAGGCAAACCAATACAAACACTCACCTCTATTAAAACACTCATTTCTTGATAATTCCTTCAGCGATTGTTCCAGGTCACCCATAAGCACATATAAATATAATATTCAGCACCAAAAACGCCAAAAATAATTGAAAAGGCACGAGTAAAAAGCTGAATGGTTCCATTCTTCAGATATCGTATTTCTGAAGAATCATATTTACATTTTCTGCCAGGCGCAGCCATTGAACTATAAATAAACTGGAAGGCTAACTCAGGGGGGGAAATTGAAGCCAGGGCATTTTAGTTTTTCTGAGTTATGAGCAGAAATACTCAACACTGAACGTTGGGCTATATATCAAATTGAAGCTATTGAAAAACGCTATTTGGTGTAGAAATTTTAAGACTTTAGCTAAAAGGGAAATATCAAAAAATTACAAACATAATTACCGATAATTT